AAAAAAAAAAAAAAAAAAAAAAAAAACTTACGCTTTCAAACAAGCCACAGACTGAGAAAAGGTATTTATCAAATATATATCTGGTAAAGGACATACAAAGAGGTGTGAGGAATTTACTTTTGTGCTTGGGCTATAACCCTCATGAAATCAATGACTTCAGGGAGATCAAAGGGGACAAACGAGCCCCTCCACTTGTGAAGACAGAAAGTGCTGGCTGAGCAGCTACAGACCTACAGCGAACTCAACAGCAACCAAGACGTGTCTCTTGTAACTTGTTTGCTATCTTTCTAATTTTGCAAGGTTTTTCTTTGTGATTTCTTCTACCACCTTCACTTCACTTGTGTCCAGAGGACTGGTAAATTTCACAGCATTTTGTTCTTTTCTTGTATGGTTTTCACTTTAACTCTTTTAATCTATCAGGAATTAATTTTGGCGGCTGGGTGGGAAGTCAAGAACCCCTGCTGGATAACCTTTATGTCTCCCTCCCATACCAGAGTCTCTGGAAAGATGAGGGAATAAATGCCTCTCATGCACATCATCCAAACCTCACAAAAGACTTTTTCCATAAGTGTGGGCTCCTCAGAACCGTGTCCTACTCTTCTATGCTCCCTGGGGCCATTCCTTGGTCCCTGGGTCTCCTGAGTTGAGGCACGATAATTTAGGATCCACTCAACCACTTCCATTTTAGTGTTCCTGGAACACAGTCACTCCAAAGTTCATTCATAAGAGAAGTCAGAGACGTACTAAAGCACCCACACTTGAAGGATGTGGAAAAACAGAATCCAACACTAAGGCCCAGGTGCACATGACTCAAGAGAGCAATGGAAGACCCAAAAGATGACATTCAAAAATATATGAGGGAGGGGAGCCGGGGATTTAGCTCGACAAGTGCAAGGTCCTGAGTTCGATCCCCAGTGGTGGTGGGGGTCGCTGGCAAGAGGAAATGGAGAGATTTCATGGGTTAAGCCTAGGATGAATGAAAGTTCCCCTTAGGTCACTGCATGCAAGGGAAGGAGTCTGTAGAATATCTGAACCTTGAATATACATTGGTAATTCAGGAGACAGACAGCTTTTTAATTCTCTTTTATACCTGCTTAGTGTTCAGTTGGGTAGATGGATATTGATACATTTCTAAGAAGCCCAATTTGGCAGTATGCACCAAGAGCCTTGTGTTTTTTTATAAACTAGTAATTTCTTTTAAAAGATATCTACTCTGAAGGAATAAGTGATGACGAACAAACAAGAGATGAGGAGCAAAGACTGATGCATAAACATTTACTATATAATTCTCTATAACTACATCCCTACAAATAAACACATAAAAAGGAAGCAACAATAAGCAAGTAGATAGGTAAAAATGGTACACCCAAGAGTATTCTTTAACTACTAAATGCTTATGGAGAAGTCAGGTGACACAGGAAAATTAAGATAAGCCAATGCATTCAGATACAAAAATTTAACATACAGTGCAACGCAACTGCATTGTTTAAATGCACATAAAAAATACCAAGAGGAAATATACCCAAACATTAATGGTAGTTTCTTCTCAGAGTTAAAATGAAAGGTGTTTCTCCTTCTTTATAGTTTTCTATTTTTTGTTTGTTTTTGTTTGAGACAGGGTCTTGCTGTATAGTTCGGGCTGGCCTTGAACTCACTTTATAGCCCAGGCTGGGCTCTAACTCAGAGCGATCCTCCTGCCTCAGCCTGCCTAGTGCTGGGATTATAGGTGTGCTCCACTACACTGGCCATCTTCTATTTTTTTTAATTCTCTAGAGTAAATATATATTACTTTTTATATATTCAGAAAGAAAGGTTTAGAGAGACTAAAGCTGGTAGAGTGGTGAGTGACAGCAAAATTTAGCCTCTCCAAGATCTGGAATCCAAACACTATAAAATAACAAGGTGGGGAGAAAATAAAGAGAAACCCAGAAGTTTGAGAGATGGATAACAATGCAGAGAAACAATATGGACTCACCTCCCTGAACACAGCAGGCAACAGCCAGACAGGGATCCCAGAGCAGGCACTCACCATGTTGCTAGTGAGTGCTTGGTGGGGCAACATTCAAGGAGGGAGTTGACTATATAAATCTGGGACTCAGAACAGCTGGGGGATGTCTTTTCTGCAAAGTTCCCAGTGTTACTCCCCCACACACAGTTACTACATGAGAGACAGCCACAGGAGATAGCTGTGGATAGGTTAAGGGCTGAAAAAAGACCCCCTGAGGGGTTTGAGCTTGGGCTGTGAAGACACACACCTCATGCCCCAAGGGGGGCGGACACGCCAGGGCTGAGTTGTGCTGGGTCTGAAAGTGCCAAAATTAAGAACTTGAGCCTTTGCCCTATTGCCTACACCCTTCAGAGATCTGAGGTTTAACTGCTTTTCTTATCTACTGGTGAGAGCAGGGATATATATGTCTTGACTTGGAAAATGTTGTTAACAGTGGACTAAGCAGAGGGGCCTCTGAAATGTGTGGGAACCTCACAAACCCACAGGCTGGAAGGCGAAGCAGAGAAAACCATAAATCGTTAAACTACAAAACTACTGATCCTTAAAGAAAACCACCCATTCAAAAGTATAGAGATGGCAGTGTGTGGTGGCACATGCCTGTAATCCCAGCACTGTGGAAGCTGAGGCGAGAGGATTGCTGCACGTTTTGAGGTGCGTTCAACCCCAGACTGAATGGCATAGTGAGAGCTTGTCTCAAAAAATAAATGAATAAAATTTAAAATAAAAAAGTACAGAGAATGTTTTTCTGTTTGGACTCTTTTTTTCTTTCTTCTTTCTTCTTCACTGCTTTACTGGGGTCTGGGGGTTTTTCCTTTGTCCTTCATCCTTGTTCTTTTTTCTTTACTTCTTTTTTCCTCATTCCCCTTCTTTTTCCTTTTAATTTTTTCTTTACCATTATTATTTCTCCTTCTTTTATCTTTTACTTCTCTTTGGGTCTTTTTCTGTTACCTTTATCTAATTCTATAAATACACTTCTACTTCTTAATAGACTCATTTTTCTCACTTCTTTCCTCTTTCTCACCTCCCATTGTTTAATTTTTCCTCTTGCATTCTCCCATTCCCAACACCTTACATCTTTAATACTTTAATACCATTAAGCTTTATTAATCTTTAGATAGTTAATGCTATGTCCTTACTGTTGAATTCCTTTCTATCATTAGCAGAGATGTAGTTGTTGCATTTAGTACATATACCAATATCTGGGTTGTTTTAGTGTTTATACTATAATTGTGGATTTCTTTTCTATGGTCAAGGGTGCTACAATATTGGTTCTTATGGTATATCAATATCCAAATGTCTTGGATACTATTACTTTTGATGATTTACTTGATACTGCCAGAGTTACATTACTGATGCTATTCATGAGATTTCTTAATATGCCAACACCTGGATTACCTTTATGACATTACCAATTCTGTGGTCCGTTCGCAGAGAACAGAGTGTTGGGTCAATTACACTGCATCTTCCTCTCTCAAATTAACACAGGTGGTCAGATCTTGGGACAGAGGCAAAAGACTAAGCCATGCCTAGACTGTATCACTGAAAAGCAGACTAACTAAAGAGATCTCCATGCTAGCAATCAAGTCTTTCCACTGTAAGTGCTGCAAACCTAAGGATAAAGCAAATCAAACAAATAGAAAACAATATAAACATGATTACACAAGGCAAAAAAAAAAAAAATAAAAAAAAAAAAAAAAAAAAAACTGCCACCCGAAACTGCAAACTCCCACAAAGCCAATGCTGGGGGCATCGAGGGGGAGTAAATGACTCACACATCCTAATTATTGGAAAAGAATAACAGGGGAGATTAAAGAACAGATTGATGAGGTGCTCGGTGGGATCACAGAAAATATAACTAAGTAGGTAATGGCAAAAATAATCAAGGAGCTTACAATAGACACTAATATAAAGCTAGCTAAACAGGAAAAAAAAGATATAGTACATGAATGGCTAATTTAGCCAAGAAATAGAGTCCATGAAAAGCGTCCCAGAAATCCAGGATTAAAAACCCTACCGAAAGTATGGGCAGTAGAAACAACCAATTTAAGGATACAGTATCAGAATTAGAAAATAGGGATATATTGAAAGACAATCATTCAGAAATACCTTGAAAACAAGAACACAAATAATGGATCCAACAATGCTAGATGACACAAAGAAGACTAAGACTCGCCACGGTTTAATCTTACACGGTGTCTCACCCTCACACTGTAGGGTATACTTCTTTTCCTACCTTCACGTGGACCACACTCACTCTGCAGAGCCTATTTCTTTTTTCACCTTTAATAAAACTTTGCCACCATTTAAAAAAGAGAGATTAAGATTAATTGGATTAAGTGAAAAATCAGAAGACAGCACTAAAGGCATAAAAAACCTGTTTACAGAAACCATAGCAGAAAACTTTCCAAATATAGGGAAAGATTAAACATAAAGATAAGTGAGGCATATAGAACTCCAAACAGAAATGATCAAAAGAGAATCTCTCCATGTCACATGATAGTCAAAATACCAGAAGTCCAACAAGGGACAGAATTGTAAAAGCTGATAAAGAAAAGCAATGAATCATAAAAGTAAACCCGCCAGAATTATAGCAGACTTCACTACAAATCTTTAAGGCCAGGAAGGCTTGGAGTGAAGTGTTTCAAGCCCTATTAGAAAACAACTTTTATATATTGTGCGAAACTATCATTCAAAATTGATAGAGCAATAAGGTCTTTTCCATGACAAAGAGCACCTCAAGAAATTCATGGCCAACAAACCAGCAGCCCAAAAAATTCTCAAGGATGTCAAAACAAGGGACAATGAAACCAATAATGCCAAAAAAATCTAATATAATGAATACACCGACAGGGTGAGCAGTTAACCAGAAAGGAGAGAAAAAAACAGCAAATCAGCAACAGGAAAATAAAGCAATGATAAAGATGTCAGTATCTTTCAGTAAAAACTTCCAATGTGAATGGTCTACATTTCCCAATCAAAAGACACAGATTGACAGAATGGGTCAAGAAACAAAACTGTACAAAATGCAGTATACAGGAAAACAAAGGCTTAAAAATATAATCCAAAGAGTATTAGTCTAGTCTTCTACTCTTCACCCAGGCCCCAAGACTCTCATCTTTTCTATCTCTCCAAAGCATTTTCCAATGCTGTTTTCCATGGACAGGAGAACTCCTGAGGAAGTAGGGATATAAGAATATTTACTTCTTAGCTCTACAATCCCAGCACTTGGGAGTCTGAAGCAAGAGTACTGTTGTGAGTTCAAGATCAGCCTGGGCAACAATAGTAAGTTCAAGGCCATCCTGAATTACATAGTGAGGCTTGAACTACATAGCCAGACCCTGTCTTGAGAGGGGGGGACAGAGATAGAGAAAAAGAGACAGAGAAAATTTACTTCTTTCTTTGTCCAGGCTTTAAAGGCCAAATTCAGGGCTTTGCCACCATGGACCAGGTAGGACGCAGGGTGTCTCCTGTTCTCTCGCAAACCTAAAGGGGTAAGAAAAAAACAGTGTCAATGAAGCCATGAAAGCAAAGTAGAAAACTTATTATCTCTATAAAGCAACAGACAATATGCTCAGGGTTCTGAGTACAACTCCAGATCTCAGTAATTCTAATAGTGTCTATTACTGTCTTCATTTTAGAGTTTAAGAAACTGAAGCTCCAAGATGAGAGAGACTTGACCAACCACCTACATATGTAGTAAGTACCTAAGCCAAGACTGAAACCATGTTTACTTGAGTTTAAGAGCTAAGCTCCTTTCCTCTGCCTCTTGGGTCTCAAAATGAGAATACTCAGAGGGACCATGATTGCTATTTTTACAGACTCAAAGGGTCATTAATAAAGAAGATGGAATAGCTATGTTCTGTGTCATTTCAGGGAGAACTATTATTAACAGCCAGTTTTAGGCTCTATGATAATTTTCTACAGAACTAAGATGTTCTTCAGGACAGATAGTGATCAGTTAAGTTATCTGGCATAGGACTGAATACTTAAGTAACAGTCTAGCTAGGTAACAGAATAAGGGCTTGAGATATTGAGTAGAAAACTATACTCAAAGCCGGGCATGGTGGCACACGCCTGTAATCCCAGCACTCAGGAGGCTGAGGCAGGAGGATCGCTGTGAGTTCGAGGCCAGCCTGGGCTACATAGTGAGTTCCAGGTCAGTCTCAAAAAACCAAAAAAAAAAAAGAAAAGAAAAGAAAAGAAAAGAAAAGAAAACTATACTCAGAGGGGTCTAAGTTTCTTTGTAACTTAGACATACAGGGTTCCTCCTGGCTAATTCACCTTTAAAAATCAATCTCTGGCCAAAACAAGGGACTTGCTCTATCTCTGAGGTGACCAAGAAAGATGAAAACTCAGCAAACTGACTTTCATGTGGGCCAATACCTAGGAATCAACAAAAGGATGCCAGGATGGTCAGGAATAGGTCTTATCCCCATAGGAAGTATAACTAGGAGACTCTTAGACTAATCCAGATAGTTTCTGACTTTAACTGGCAGGAAATAGGGAAAATGTCTCTAAGATCAAATTTTCTCGATCATACTGCCTTTCTATACATAATGCTAAATAAAAAAGCAAATCTCTAAAGATCACACAGAGTATGACTCCATTTATATAATATTCTTCAAATGAGAAAATCATAGAGGTGGAAGACAGTTTAATAGTTTCAGGAAATTATAAGAAACAGAGGCAACCCACTTTCCAGTCCCCCTTCTGTCTCTTAGAAGCTATCTTTCAATAAATTTTCCCTACTCTCAAAAAAAAAAAAAAGTTATAAGAAACAAGATGGTGGAGCAGTAAGTGCCAGCAGCACGGCTTCTCAAGGACAAGTCTGGAAGACAGTGGCTTGGAGAGGAACCAAAGTGAAGGGAGAGTACATGGGAACAACAAGGAACCTGATAAAGGAGAAGAAAATAGGATAAAGCAATATAGAAGAAGTGGCCCACATCACAGAGGAGAAACCATGGTGCTGTGGACGGTGGCTTGTTGACTGTCAACCAAAGGCACAGCGAAATTAATAACTTTTCTGCTCTCAGAGAAGAGTGTCGAGACTAGGAGACTCTTACGCAGTGGGAGACAGCAGGAAGAATCTGAGACTCCTGATTCTCCAGCAGCCCCCCAGAAGCAACATTTGGTGAGTATGTGCGGTACAAGCACCCCAGGACACAGATGCATGGAACAGATGCTGGCGAGGACACTACTGTGGGGAAGGGCTGAGTGTTGGAATCTCAGTCCCAGATCAGCCCCTTGGTGGTGGCTTCACATTGCCAAGTTCCCACAGTGGATAAGGGAAGGACAGTCATGGAATACTGCCCTAGCTGTTAAACACACTAGGGAGAGTCAAGCTGAGAGGCAGGGACTTGTGATCACAGATTCAGTTCCTGCAATCAGACTCCAGTTTCTTCCTGAGTTACGGAGTGGAGGGAGGCTCACATTGGTGCTGTGTACCCATTGATAAACAGAGACCCAAAACCGGGTCTTATGGTATGACAGTTCTCAACTAGCTCTGATAGATACCACTGGAATGGATTAGCCTGTTATTGCTGTACTAGAATTGATTCTGTAGGGATAATCCCGACTCAGTGAACAATTCAGTGCCAGTGAACTTGCCTGATGAATCTACTATCACACCCAGGGAAAAGGACAGCAAAAGTTCGTAACTCAAGAACTTAGATTGCATGAAACTGCAAAAATACCTGCAACCTGGCAGAAAGAGTTCCTGAATCTGAGGTAACCCAAGTTTTGCAGTGGACGGATCAGAGGACTAATTGGTGTGTGAGCACTCAGACTCTCTGGCAAAGAAGCTACTTGGGAATCACATATGCAGTGTCTCATTGGAGTATCTATATAACCTGTGTTCCCATTGAATAACTTATTGGTTTAAGATTCTGTATGTTTCTTGAGTTATTTAGTTATGTGAAATTATATTCTTTTATAGTCTCAAGTGTATATTAAATTGTTACTCATATATTTGTTCATTGGCTCTGACTTATTAGGTGTCTAGGTTCTCTTTCTCTTCCTCATCTCAACCTGTGATCTAGTTTCTTCACCTCAAACTGCCAAAATAATATTAACATGTATCTTTATTCTTTTCCCAAACATATAAACTCCACCTCAGTTTTAAAATTTATCATACTTAGCCCCCTCACAGCCATTCCTATCTTCACTAGTATAATTCCTTAACCCTTCCCATATTAATACTTTGGCTGTTTCGTATCTTACCTAGCTTATTGTCCTCACTATAAGCAAGTTCTGATAACCATATAGCTTTCCTCAAACACAATGTGAATACCCTTTCATGCATCTCACCCTTGCCCCTACAAAATATATGTTGAAACTTCTCAACACTAAACCTTCAATTCAACTAAAAGTAGTCCAATATTATCAGAGCCTGCATCAATCTTTTCTTCTCACCTATCACTAGTCTCCTTTTCAAATCTCCCGCTTAGTGCCTAAAGACTGAATCTGTGGATATTGTTATAAATAGAAGCAACTCTTTCATCAAAACAGTGACAGAGTCAAAAATCACAAAAAAATAAATTACAGAAGGATTAATACTAACACTGGACATACAAAGCTGAAAATTACTCACAGAGAGACAACAACCTACTCCACATAAGCTCCATAAAACTCCAGGTAAGCCACAAACTCTCCTCACTTCTATAGTCCCCAACTTGTAGTAATCACCTCCCAAAAAAGGGAGGAGAAAAAAGAGGGAGACAAATAATTTTTTAAAAGATACAAACAAACAGATACAAGTAGGAGAAAGGGGAGGGTAGAAGATCTCCAAATCCCCTCAACTCCATCAAGGCAAAGGGAGGAAAAAAATATCAGATAGCAGAAATCTATGAAAAGTTTTTACAAGGGATGAAGAAAATAGATGAGTTCAAAGAGGAAATGAACCAAAAGTTTACAGCTATTAATTTCAGGAAATAGCTAAAAAAAAAAAAAAAGAATGAGCTAAGCAAAACAATTTAAACTTTGAACAAAAGATTCAACAAGGATATGGAATTCTCAAAAACATGTCATACAGATCTAAAATAGAAAACAGTATAGAATTCATACATTGCAGAAATGACCAATGTGAAGACACAGTATCTGATATTGATAGTTACAATGAAGTGAATTACAATAAAGAGCTCAAAGAACCAAAAAAGAAAATAACAGTGCAAGAGAAGATTATCCAGCAGCTACTAGATGAAAACAAGAAGACCAATCCATGGACTGGAGTTAAGAGAAAGTCTAGATTGCACAGATGGATTTACTAACATGATTACAGAAATTATAGAAGAAAATTTCCCAAATATAAGAAAATATTTAAAATACAAATAAGCAACATTTAAAGAACACCAAACAATTATGATGAAAGAAGTTCACCAAGGCATATCCTCATTAAATTGAGATTCAGCAAATCAAATATAAGAAAATATTTAAAATACAAATAAGCAACATTTAAAGAACACCAAACAATTATGATGAAAGAAGTTCACCAAGGCATATCCTCATTAAATTGAGATATTCAGCAAAAAAAAAAAAAAAGAATTTTAAAGGCAGCCAGAGAAAACCAAAAAAATCACATATAAAGGTAAACCAATTAGAAATAGACTTTTCAGCAGAAATCCTGGAGATCAGAAGATCTTGGAGTGAAGTATTTCAAGCCATAAGAGCAAATAACTTCCAACCTAGATTAACTGAGTCAGCAAAGCTATCCTTCCAAATAAATGAAAAACACTAGCTCAGAAGATACATGAGTGCTAAACCAACTCTAGATAAAATGCTCAAGAACATTCTCAACAGAAACAACTGAGAAACACAGAGGAAGCTACTGAGGTCAATGAATAAAACAGCAACAAAAAAATCAGGAAAAAATAACAAATGATATATCGACAGATGAAGTAAATGACAGTAAATACCTCTCAATGTTAATGGCCTCAACTCCCAAATCAAAAGACATAGATTGACAGACTGAATCAAAAAACAGAATCAACAATCTGTTGCATTCAAGAAACTCATCTAAATAAAAAAGACATGCATAGACTAAAATTTAAAGGTTGGAAAACAACATTTCATGTATCAGGATCCCAAAAACAAGCATGTTTAGCAATTCTAGTATGAGACATGGTAAACTTCAAGTTAAAACTGATTACAAGAGACAAAGAAGGTCACTACATACTAGTTAAAGGAACAAGCCAAAAAAAGAGATAACAATGATAAACATAATACTAGCACACCTATTTTCATAAAACAAAAACTGCTGAAATTAAAAGATCAAATAAACATTATCACAATCATAGTAAGGGATTTTAACAACCCCCTCTCAAAGAGAAAGATCAACTAAACAAAAAACCAACAAAGAAATTTCAGAGCTCGACCATACCCTTGAACACAGGAACTTAATGGATATACTCAAAGTATTCCAACCTTCTACAACATAGTATACATTATTTTTGTACTTTTTTTCAAAATAGATCACATACTAGTCCATAAAGCCTGCTTAAGTAAATAAAGAACTGAATGGGGCCAGGGATTTAGCTCAGTGGTTCACCACCTGCCTCACAAGGGCAAGGACCTGAGTTTGAACCCCATTAACAAAAACAAACAAACAAAAAACTGAAATCATTTCATGCATACTATCCAACCATTGGGCAATTAAAATAGAAATCAATGACAGAAGAAATTTCAGAAAAGATAAAAGCTCCTGGAAAATTAAAAAATATACTCCTAAACAACCATTGAGTCACAGAAGAAATAAAAGAAAAAATTCAATAATTTCTGGAAGTTAATGACAATGATTGCACAACTCAACAAAACCTCTGGGACACTATAAAAGCAGTCTTAAAGAGGAAAATTCATCTCAACCGATGCTCACATTACAAAAACAGAGCAAGCCCAAATAACTAACCTTATAAGAAATCTTAAATAGCTGAGAAATAACAACAAACAATCTGCAAAAAAAAGAATTAAGCAGGGAGATTATAAAGATGAAAGAGGAAATCAATGAAATTGAGTCTTTAAAAACTGTAAATAAAAACAGTGACTCTAAGAGATGGTTCTTCAAAAGAATAACTAAAATAGATAATCCTTAGCTATACTTACCAAGAAAAAAGAGATTAAAGACTTAATGCAATTAGAAATGACAAAGGTGAAATCAAAACATAATGTCAAAATCCAGAAGATAATCAGTAGTTCAAAAAATTATATTCCAACAAATTAGCAAATTTTGAAATGGACAGATTCCTAGACACATACAAACTACCAAAACGAATGCAAGAAGACATAAATATGCTTAACAACCCACTAACAAGGAATGACACTGACTCAGTAATCAAGAATCTACCAACTAAGAAAAGCCCCGGATCTGATAGATCACTGCTGATCTCTATAAAACATTTAAGGATGATATTATCACCAGTATTCCTCTAGCTCTTCAAAGAAATTGAAGGGGATGCAGTGTTCCCAAATTCATTTATTGAAGCCAGTACCAACCTGATTCCAAAACCTGATAGGCCAAACTCTTTAATGAACATAGATGCAAAAATCCTCAACAACATATTAGCAAACAGAATGCAGCACATCATCTAAAAGATGCCATATCATGATCAAGTAGGTTTCATCTCAGAGATGCAAGGATGGCTCAACATATGTAAATCAATAAATATATCACTTAAACAGGAGCAAGATCAAAACCACATCATCATATCAATAGATGTAGAAAGGGTTTTCAACAAAATCCAACACCCCTTCATATAAAAACCCTGAAAAAAACAGGTATTGATGGACCATACCTGAATATATAAGGGCTATTTATCACAAACCAATAGCCAGCATCATACTAAATGGGGGAAAAAACTAAAAGCATTCCTTCTAAAATCAAGAATGAGATAAGAATGTCCACTATCACTCTTCTATACAACACAATACTAGAAACATAGCGAGCGCAATTAGGCAAGACAAAAAAAGGAAGAACTCAAATTATCATTATTTACAGATGACGTGGTACTCTACATAGAAGACCCAAAGAACTTCACCAAAAACCCCTTAGAATAAACAACCAACTTCAGCAAAGCAGAAAGATACAAGATCAACACACATTAGCATTTGTGTGTACCAACAATGAATGAGATGGGAAGGAAATTATGAAAACAATACCATTCAGAGTTGCCTCGGGGAAAATGAAGTATCTAGGAATTAACCTAACCAAGAAATTGGAAGACATCTACAAAGAAAAATACAGTACTCTGAAGGAGACTGAAAAGAACATCAGAAAATAGAAATATGTCCCTTGTTAGTGGACAGGAACAAAGATTGTCAAAATGCCCATACTTCTAAAACTGTTATACAGATTCAATGCAGTCTCAATCAAAATACCAACAGCATACTTTACAGATCTAGATAAAACAAAACTAAAATTCATACAAAACAAGAAGAGACCCAGAATAGCAAAAGTAATTCTGGGCAATAAGAGCAAAGCAGGCAGCATAGCCATACCTGACTTTAAGCTATACTACATAAAGCAATAGTGATAAAAATGGCATGGTACTAGAACAAAAACAGACATGGTTCAATGGAACAGAACTGAAGATAAAAGAAATCTCCCCAGACATATTAAAATATTTGACCTTTGATAAAGGGGCCAAAAGCCTATGTTGAAGGAAAGACAGCCTATTCAACAAGTGGTGCTGGGAAACCTCGTTATCTGTTTGTAGAAGAATGAAAGTAGACCCTTATTTCTCACCAAATACTAAATTAAAATCAAAATGGAGCAAAGATCTAAACATTAAAACAGAAACATTAAACCTTCTGGAAGATAAAATAGGTAAAACACTTGAAGACATAGGTGTAGGAAAGGATTTTCTAAGCAGACCCTCAATTGCACAAGAAATAACAGCAAGAATCAACAAATGGGATTATATCAGACTAAAAAGCTTCTGTACAGCAAGAGTCCATCAATAGTGAAAAGACCTGCAGAATGCGAAAAAAAAAAAACTTTTCCCTGCTACTCCTCAGATAGAGAACTAATGTCTAGAATACACAAAGAACTCAAAAAAACTAAGCCACCTAAAATTAAAGACCCAGTCAAGAAAATGAGCTAGAGAAATGAACAGCTACTTCATAGAGAAAAAAGTTCAAATGATCAACAAATATATGAAAAATTGTTCAACATCTCTGGCCATAGGAGAAATGCAAATTAAAACAATATTAAGATTCCACCTTACTTTGAAAGAATGGCAATCATTAGGAAATCAAACAATAACAAGTGTTGACATGGCTATGGTGAAAGAGGAACCCTCCTGCATTCTACACCAAGATTTCCACTTATGGAAATCAGTATGGAGTTTTCCCAAACAACTAAAATTAGAAATTCTATACAACCCAGCTATCCCACTGCTCAGTATCTTCCCTGAGCAGCTTAAGTCATCATACTACACTGATACTTGCATACTGATGTTTATAGCAGCACAATTCATAGTAGCTAAATCCTGGAAGCAGCCTGTATACCCATCAACAGATGACTGGATAAAGAAAATGTGGTATCTATATATAATAGAATACTACTCGGCTATAAAAACATTTGAGACATTTGCAGGAAAATGCATGCACCTGGAAAATATAATGCTAAATTAAATAAAGCATACAGACAAGCTGAAATACCATATGGCATTTCTCATTTGAGTAAGGCAAAGTACAAACAGAAAATTATAAAAGATGGATAGAAAGGGACAAGGGGATATATCTCTCGCAGTGGGAAAACAGTCCAAAGAAACAAGGTCAAGGGCTAAGAGGGGAGTGGGAAATGAAATAACAGATGTGCCATGTACAGGAACATAATAACCCCAATTAATGTAAACACTCTATGTCATAACATGAGCTAAGACAAATAATATCGACAAGTATAATAAGGGGATACCTGGGAAGTGGGGAAGGGGACTTAAAAAAAAGCTGTACTATGTACACATAACCATTCCTAAACATGACTATAAATTGCATGAATTGCAAATATATACTAATATTTTTAAAAAGAAGTTACAGATGACACAGGCAAAGAAGTGAAAGCATTAAAGGATAGCATTAGAGACATTTTAAATAGTAATGTTTTTACTGTATATATTTGAAGTATACACCATGATGTTTCCTTTTGTTCTGTTTTGTTTGGTACCGGGGATTGAACTCAGGACCTTGCACTTGCAAGGCAGGCGGTAGCATCACTGAGCTAAATCCCCAGCCCTATGATGTTTTGATGTACATAACGAGCAGATCATCATGATGCCCTATATCTTGACCGAAGTAATAGTTATATAGTAATCCTCCCTCTCCCCTTCCCAGTCTTCCATCCCTCAAAGAGAGCAGGAAAAAGGAACAACTGACAAAGAGCTCCATACCTCTAAAGATGTCCAGAATGTGTTTTCCCACGTACCAACAGATGGTCTCAAAGTTGGGGAACTTGAAGAGGTCTGCTGTACTCAGCCGCTTCTCAATCTCATAGGCTCTGGTAGGAGGAAAAGTAACAAGAAGAAGAATCCATTTACTGAATACCTAGCATGTGTATCAGTTACTATTCTGGATGCTATCCAACCACTATCTCCAACCCTGACAATGATGTTGTGAAATGCTACTTTATTAGAAAACTTTAAGCTCAAAGGTTGTATGACTTGCCAAAATCACATAACTACTAAGTGAGAAAAAGGTGTTAATCTTCAAACTAAACATCAGCAGGAAGCATGACCAATTCTTTTCTAATTGTCTTGCCTCCTTCTATGCTGCACTCCTCACTCTAGAGAGCTTAAGGATTAGCAGACAGGAATGGCCAAATTCAGAACTCACTTGAGCTGCATTTCAATGTTAAGGCTGTGTAAGAAGTTCCCTCCAAAGGCAAGGCAGTCCACAGGGGTCAGCACAGCATGAATCCATCCTGCAGTGTAACAAGGCAAAATTATATTTGGCAGAGAGCCTCACTTCCTCTGAACAACTCCACTGCCTATTTAGCTCAACCTCAAATCCTTCAGAATAGTTAGCATGAAGTTTGGCAGAGTGGCACATACAAATAATCTCAGCACTCTGGGAGGCTAAGGGGAAGAGGACTGCAAGTTCAGGCCTTACCTAGGCAACTTAGTGAGACTCTATCTCAGAACAAAAAAAAGTTAAAAGGGCTGAAGATATAACTTGTAGTGAAGACGCTAGGTTCCCCAGTACCACCAAAACAAAACAAAACAAAACAAACAAACAAAAAGTGTCTGGCAGTGACATATAACTTACTTTCTTTTTTCTGGTACTGGGGATCAAACTCAGGACCTTGTGCTTGCAAGGTAGATGCAATGCCACAGAGCTAAATCCCCGGCCCTGACAAAAACGTTCTTAGTTCTTCCTGGTCTGCCATCATTATAATCCTGAACTGAATCAACCTCTGGGGTTAATAAACTTTCATATCCATACTGCCCACTTGAAAAATCATTCTCTTGCCTTAACAAACCTGTCTTGCTTCTGAGGATAACATCTCCTTCTAACTCTACCTTGGGCAAAACAAGTTTATGCGCTAGACAGATCAAAGTTCAACTGTGCCATTTCTTGGCTAAAAATATATTTTTTTAAATCTTTCTCAAGAGGTTGGTTGTACAGCTTGTACCCAGCTGGAACACAATTATTCTCCTTGATTTAAATCTCTCCTTCTGTGACATTACAATTTTTTTCTTAAATTTCTCCCATATTCATTTCCTCTTTTCCAACCATTATCTATCATGTTGGCTGTGATAACAGTCCAAACTAGCTTTTCCACACCAGCTTTTCCCCAGGTGTTGTCTAGGGATTCCTTGGGCTCCCTGAGACTCTTTCAGAGAATGAGAGGCCAAAACACTTCCTTCAAACTAGTAAAACACAAATACCAATAGTCTGTGATATACTCTGTAGGTATAATGTCAATAACTAAAGCAACATTTTAAAACTATATCAGATAAAAACAACTACAATAACTACTAAAAACCTACAAAACAGCTTAACCTAAAATTCATATGAAAATTCAAGAAATCTAGAATAGACAAAATAATCTTGAAAAAAACTTAGAGGACTAATATTTCACATGTTCAAAACTTCTCACAAATATATAACTGAGACAGTGTGACACAGTCCTAAGGATACACATCAATGGAATAAAATTCAAGGTCTAGTGCTATGACTTACATCTAGATGTCCCCCCAAGGTGTCATGCACTCATAAGTAGAGCTTTTAGGAGGTGTCTGGATCATGGGTGTGTGATACTGTATTTTGGGTGCATGGTAAATGGATCAGTCCATTGATTGTTTTAGCATGGTTGTGGGTGATTGAATTACCAAAGGGGAAATTCTCATCTTGGGCATGGGTGGCACCAACAAATAGACTGGTAGGCTGGATGGAAAAAAAAGGGAAAGAAGGAAGGTAGGCTCACTACTTCCTGCCCCCTGCTTACCTTGCTATGGACTGTTTCTCTTCTGCCATGCCACCCTACCTTGAATCCACAGACTATGAACTGAAACCTCTACATACTGTAAGCTGAAATAAACTTTTGCTCCTCTAACCTGTGGGTTTTGGATATTTTGTCCCAGCAACAAGTAAATAACCAAGAAATCTAGAAATACACCAATATAACAATGGTCGATTGATTTTTGATAGAATGTCAAGACAATTGAAAGGAATACTCTTTTCAAATGCTCCGGGACAACTTGGTATCTACATGCAAAAGAAGGAAAGTGGATTCTGATACCACATATAAAAATTAACTCAAAATGGATGCAACATCTAAGTGTAAAAATTAAAAATGGCTAGGTGTGGTGATGCATGCCTATAATCCCAGCATTGGAGAGGCTGAAGCCAAGAAGAGGCTAGTCTGGGCTACAGTGAGTTGAAGGCAGCCTGAACTACATAGACAGATTATGTCTCAAAAATCAAAAACAGTAGCTCGGTGAGGTAGCACATGCCTATAATCTCAACACTTGGGAGGCTGAGGCAGAAGATCACCATGAATTCAAGGTCAGCCTGGACTTCACAGGGAGTGAGACCCTGTCACAAAAAACAAAACAAAAAAAATAAAGAATTAAACACTATAGGGCCAGCATTAGAGAGATGCAAATGAAAACAATACTGAGACTCCACCTCACCCCAGAAAGAATGACTGCTATCAAGAAATCAACCAACAACAAATGTTGGCGGGATTGTGGGGAGAAAGGAACCCTTCTCCATTTTTGGTGGGGGTGCAGACTGGTGCAATCACTGTGGAAATCAATATGGAGATATGTCAAAGAACTAGGATTAGAGGTCCCATTTGACCCAGCTATTCCCCTGCTGGGTATCTTCCAAAAGAATTAAAAGAACCCCAGCACTCAGGAGGCTGAGGCAGGAGGATAGCTGTGAGTTCGAGACTAGCCTGGACTACATAGTGAGTTCCAGGTCAGTCCCAACTACATAGTGATACCCTTTCTCAAA